AAGATTTTTAGGAGGTGAGTTTTTAGAAGTGGACCACTTCTTCCTTTTTCCTACTTTGGGTTTGACTCTATTTTCTATTCCAACTGTCACCATCACAAAGCCCAATTCCCCTTCCTCTCTAAATGAAAGTCTCCCTGAATCCACCCCCCTCCCCCCATCCAGAACCTATCCCTGCTACAGCAAACATACTTCCAACTCACAGCCAACCCACATGTGCAGAACAGGACTGCTCCAAAGGGTTTGCAACCTTTTAGAAGCATATTGTCAGACCCACCTTCTAAGGCACCTCTGGGTGGGTTTGAACTGTAGTCGGACAACAGACAATGGGACCTTTAAAAAGTATAAATCTCATGTTGCTTAAAAATGTCAATGTTTTGCATTGCCCTTAGGACAAGGCTCCTGGCACCTGGCACAGTATATATAATCTCTGCCATTCTTCCCTTCCTTGTCCACCAGCCATTTTGAACTCCCTTTACATCCTTCCACTTCACTTTCTCCTGATTCAGAGATATGTATATGCTTTTCTTCTGCCAAGGGAGTTCCTGTTCCTTCCCTTCACCCAGCCAATTCCTTCTCATCATTTAATCTTTCTTTTTGAAACAGTTCTGCTGAGATAAGGACTCCTGGTGTGGTGCTGTCGGATCAGCACTGGACTGTGAACCACCAACTGCTCCTCGGAAATCCTATACAGGGTCGCTGTGATTTGGATCCAACTTGAAGGCACTTAAGTCCTGGTGTGGCACCATAGGATAAGCACAGGGCAGCTAACCACAAGGTTGGCGGTTCAAGCCACTAGCCGCTACTTGGGAAACCTATACAGGGCCACTATGAATCAGAACTGACTCGACAGCACTTCACTGAAATAAAGAGAGTGCGGAGACTCCATAGGATAAGGACCTGGTCAGACTCCATAGGATAAGGACTCTTGGTCAAAGCTGAATTAATGAATTGAGAGGACTGCAAGGGGGACAGGTTAAAGTGCTTGGCTCTGCAAATGATTTGGAGATGCTCAGGACTGTGGTTTTACACCTGCACGTTTGGGGCTGGACTGTCATTGCTGATATTTTATCACCTCTGTAGACATCACTTCCAGCTGGAGATACTGGAATGAAGCTATTGTTGTTAAGTGCCGTCGAGCTGGTTCCGACCCATAGAGACCCTGCATAGGGTTTCCAAGGAGCGGCTGGTGGGCTTGAACTGCTGCCCTTGCAGTTCAAACCGACCTTACAGGCCAGCACATGGATGGGGAGAATTAAACTGCTACTTAATTTCAGGGCAAAGTATACATCAAGTAAGCTACTTCAGTTTTGTGCTAATCTTTCAATTCCACAATTCAAAGAAAAATAGCTTAAACCTAGGATTAAAGTATTATAGACAGACCAATCAAATGTTCACTCTCTGGGTCTAGGAAATAGCTGTGCTTAGTCAATGGCTAATTCAAGAGCAGTTAACCTATGACCAATTTCTCACTAGCTGACACTGAAAAGTGATCTCTAAGTCTCAGTTGGAATCCCACATTCAGAATGGGCACACTAGATGCTTCCCAACCACCCTCTTGCTCCAAACCCCATCAGTTTGGTCCTAGAAACAAATGAAATCCTTTCTTAATGCCCCCACTGGAATATCACTTCAATGAAAGCTGTAGACAACCTTGGGACCTCTGACTTGAGGGACACTCAGTGCGAGGCTCTGCCTACATACCTGCACCTGGAATTTGAGGCTCAAACCCACCTTTGGTGGCTATTTAAAAAAAAAAATCTCACAAAATCCTATCTTTCCACAGATTCTAAATGCATAGTTTTACTTGTATTTGAGCTATGAAAATGAACTCTGGACGTGTTCAAACACACCTGTGTGTATGGTCTAATTGTCATAAAAGCAACTTGTTGTTGAAGGCCTGCACAGCAAATGCACTTGCCTGGTGTGCCATCTCTTTGACTCACATCTGGGGACAAGTCTCCCATGGAGCTATGAGAACTTTGAGTAATTTGATGCTTTAAGGAGAAACATTCAAACCTGGACTTGGGCCTCCAGGTAACAGCTGCTTGAATTAACGGTGTATAAATCAGGGGTCACACAACAGGCACCTGTGTTGGTGCATCACTGCTGAAAGACTACATTCTCTCCTCACACAGGTAGGGCAGAGCTATACAGACCAGGGCTGACAGTCAGCTGACTGGAGGTCAGATGCCCTCGTTACTCGTTACCTCTGACCCCCTGGCTCTGACCAGTGGTGATCCTGACATCGTGGCTTCTGTGGCTACGAGTGAACTGTTTAGAGCTATAATTGATCCTGGACTCACTAAGAATTGTCTTAGCTTTGCAGGTGCACAAGGTTTGATCATGAAATTAAAATTGGTGTTGTAAGCAGAGTGATTAATCTATTTCGGATGCACTGCCACCGACAAAAACTGTATTATGAAGATGAGATTGATGACATTCTCCAAGTTGTGCGCTCCCATCGATTTCTAAGTTATTCCTCCGTCAGTAACATAAACTCAGGATCCCCTCAAGTTCCTATCTAACCTTTCAAGTTGTTGTCAATTTGATCCCAAATAAACAGTAGTGTAGTGGTTATGAATCGGGCTGCAGACCTCAAGTTTGGCAGTTCGAAACTACCAGCCGCTCTGCGGGAGAAAGATGAGGCTTTCTGCTCCTGTAAAGATTTACAGCCTCGGAAACCCTATGCAGAGTTACTATGAGTTGGAACCGACTCCACGATACTTAACAACAACAACAAAGGGCATAACACTCAAGGCAGGCATATTTTACTAGTTAAGTTAGACTGTTGTTTGGTTTTAAGAAGACTTCAAGGGGCATTTCTGGTTTAAGGGCGAAAAGATTATCTCAGGCAGGATTACCTCCAGGGGTTCATCTAGCCTCCTTGCCTCTAGGAAGTTTGCAGTCTATGAGAATTTGTAATTCTGTTTTTCATTTCCCCTCGACATCCTTCTATGGAATCTGTATTTATTTAAACTTTTTAATTGTGAATTGAGTGAAGGTTTACAGAGATCATCAGTTTTATCTTCAACTAACCATTTGTATTTTATCTCAAGGGTTGCAATCCCCTCCATGTAACAAGTTATCCCTCTTCAAAATTCCTTTTTCCCAAGCCTTTTCAATTTTGTCCTTAGATAAATGTTGCCCTTTTGAACTTGAATGTTTTTGAATTCCATGGTGAGCATACCTTACTAGGGTAATCGTCCCTCCTTATATCTAATGCTTGACTGAAAATTGGGCCATGAGAGTGAGTTCCAATCCAGACCTGAAGGGTGGTCAAGCACCATAGTCTTGGGTTCCTCCAGTCTCCTCCGACCAGTAAGCCTGGTCTTCTTTATAATTTCTTTTATGGAATCTTTCATCAAAATGTTGTTATGGTAACTGGGCACTTCTGGTCTCCTGGCAAAGGAGGAAATTAGCCACTACATTCCATAGCCTCCTCCTATGCCTGACTCTCCTCCTTCCTGGTGTTCCAGGTAAATAGAGACTAACTGCTGTGTTTTAGTTGGCTACCTGCAAGCTTTTAAGACCCCAGACACTATGCAATGTACCTGGACCAATGCAAACTTTTAATACATTGATGAAAATGGGTATGGATGCACTGCCCACTTTGACCCATGTGACCCTGGCAGTGAAAACCATCAGGGAGTATCAGTGTGCTGACAGGCTGATGCTGGAATGAACCTCCTAATTGCATGGATGATATACTCACTCAGTCCTGTGTCCACTGAGAAGTGAGAGTACGCTGACTGTGCTGGGCGCCTCATAAATGCACCAAAGTATTTAATAAACTTGTTTTCTAGCGGCTTTGAACTAATGTGCTCTCAGGGATAAGAGCACACAGATGATATCTTTATTACTTGTAACACATTCACAGAGCAGAAGGTCCCCAAACTGGCTAACCATTAAAAACTCAGGATGCATGTTAAAATTATGCATAAATCATCGCTCACCCTACTCTCTGACGGATTCAGAATTTGCAGGGAGTGAGGGAGGCACTGAGAAATCTCTCTTTTGAGAAATGCTCAGCTTTTCCAGGTGATTTGATGACTGATCAGACGTGGGAGCCAGTGAGGGCAGCAGATTTTACTCTATACTGAGGACATGTTAGAATGTACATTCTGGTTGACAGGATTTGGGATTCTAACTTTTCAGCCCGCCCCCCAGTGGGGCTGATGCTACTGATGTGCAGCCCTCTTCTAGGTGGGCCCTGTCCCCTTTGTGGTGTGCTGGGCTCAGGGAGAAACTGCCGCAGTCAGGGCTCTCTGCTCCTTCAGTCCTGCCTCACTCCCTGCAGACTCAGTTCACAAAGGGAGGACTTACCACCCGAATGGACCCCTCTGTGCCCTGCATTAGCAGGCAGTGCAAGTGTAATACTGGTGTTTATGTGGTTGGCCCTGACTCATGGAGACGCAGAGCACAATGGAAGGAGATGCTGCCAAGTCCTGCACCGTCCTCATCATTAGTTGTGGATCCGGCTAGAGTAGATCGCCAGCTCTTTCTTCCTAATCAGCCTTAGTCCGGAGGCTCCACTGAAACCTGTTCAGCCTCACAGCTACACACACGTCTCTGCTGACTGGACTCAAGGTGCACTGACCAGTACCCGAACCTGGCTGTCCCGCATGGACGGTGAGAACTGTACCACTAAATCACCAGTAGTAAAAGCTTAGGGAGACATTTTTGTTTATTGTCAAGGACCAAGAAACACAGTCTGGAAATGCTCTATACAAGTGGAAATGAGCTACAAAACAGGGTGGGGTGGGGAGCAGACACAGAACACCTAGCCTAACACGTGACTGAGCCCCAGCTCCACACTCTACATGTGACCCGGGCAGACACAGCCATCCCCCTTCAGTATGGCTGCAAAGGAATTGTCAGCTCCCACAGGCGGGCAGAGCACACGGCTGCTTCCGGCTGGTGTGTAAGGCCGCAGGGCTGCGCAGGAGCGGAATGGATGCTGGCCGCGGTCCGCGGCGGCTGGCGGCTCTGGCCCGGGCTCCCTAGGTCCGGGATTCCTCCTGGTTCTCAATGACAAGCTTGTCTGTGGAGTACAGCTGGCTGATGTGGACCTGGGGGCAAAGACACAACACAGGTCAACAGCTGTGGGCCTCTCTTTAGTGCATTTCTAACACTGAAAACTTCAGAACCTGGCACGGCCAGCCTACTTCCTCTTCAGGAAACTGCCCTTTGGGGTAAAGTTCATTCCCCAGATGGTCATTTCCTGTTTCCTGTACCATGAGCCCTCACTTCCCCACCATGAGAAGCCTCCTAGCCTTGCTCCCCAGGCTGTCTTGGGAGCCCTGGATCCTTCAACCGTCCTCTGGTTTCCAGCTGGAGCACAGCCACCCACATGTGTGCAGCCATGCCTCACCTAAAATGCGTTCTTTCCTCCCAAACTGAGTCCTTCCATGAACATAAAGCAGGAATGCTCCCTGTGCAGGGGTAGAGAAGGGGTTGGGGTAGGGGGAAAGACTCACTGCTTAGCTTCTGTCTCACGTGGGGAAGACGGGGCTGAAGGCTGTTCTAGTGTGTCTGCCTTTCCTACCTGCCTCAGTTAGAGTCTAAGGAGTTCCTGGGTGTGGTGGGATGTCTGAAAAATGACTTGGCTGCTAAACAAAAAGCTGGAGATGCAAGTCCATCTAGAGGCACCTTGGAAGAAAGGCCTGGCTATCTACTTCTAAAGAACGAGTGACTGAAAACTCTATGGAGTACAGGTCTGCTCTGGCACACATGGGTCACCATGCCTATAATCAACACCTTGGCAACTAGTTACTGGTTAGGCTGGGAGGAGGGGCTAAGGAGGGCTTCTCTGAGAAGTGGCATTTTAGTAGAGGCCTAAAAGATGAATAAAGGTTCAATTAGTCAGTGAGGATTGTGGAGAAATTTGAGCTGAAGTAAGAAGGACACATTTGACTCTGGACAAGTAGCTGTTCTGCAGAGGTGGAGGGGGACAGATGTGCTGCAGCAGCTTGGTGGGATATCAGCAGCCAGCTCCATCCTTCTGAGTCTGCTGGTTGTGGCTACGGCTGCATTTGGGCCTGTGAGAGGGGTGGGCAGAACTATGCATGTCCCTGGAGCTCAGCGCCATCTGGCCGATATTGGTGCTCAACAGCTGCTTTATGGCTAAATGGCAAAGGACTCTGAGAAAGGCACCGGAGAAGAAACACAAGTGTCTTCTAACAGGCCAGTCACTCTGTAGAAGAAGGACACAGCCAGGCTGGGACCAGCCACTCAGCAGACAGCTGGGAGCATCTCTTCCCCCAGGACCGGTACTATGATGAGGCCTCAGCTCTCAGGACTGAGCCCAGCAGTGAGGGTGGTGCACAGCCTGCAGGGAGAGAGGAAAGGAGGGAGACTTGGAAAGGTGGGCTATTCCGAGAGCTCTCAGGTGTTACAGGCAGACAGCTGCAGCCAGAGGTGAATGAGCACAGCCAGGGGGAGGGGCTGGAGTGGGTGCCTGCCCACAGGGTGCGTGTGGACCTTTGGGGACTGTCTGAGACAGCCTGGATTGTGAGTGTGCATGGGGTGGGAGCGAGGCTCTACAGGAGAAGTAGGTTAAGGCCAGAGAGTGGATACCAGGCTCATGAGGGGCATGAAGAGCCATTAAAGTGTGGAAAATGGAGGACTGAGAGAGATCTGTGAGAAAACACCCCTTTCAGGAACAGCAGAGGTGAACAGAAGGTTGGAGTGAGTAGTCAGGGAGCCTGCTGTAGAGTCTGCTGCATAGCTTGTGAGAGGTTATTCTGTCTTAAATTAAGGAGGCGGCACAGCATACATTTGGAGCATATCTACTTCGGCGGTGTACAGACGGGGAATCAGAACTATTCTGCTGTGGCGCAGTACGATCAGCACTGCACTGCAAACCACAAGGTCAGCAGTTCAAAACCACCAGGTGCTCCACAGACATCCTATGAGTCAGAATCGACTCGACAGGCACTTAACAAAAACAGACTACTTGGGTGATGTACAGAAGGGGAATCAGAACTATAGTAAGGCCAAGATGAACATATATAGATACCATAAGAAGCAATACTTCCATTTTTTGGAGAGGGATGATGGTTTGGAGAAGCTAATGCATGGTGGAGCAAGGACTTAACCCCACATCTGATCTCTGACTGGGGCTTTTTCCAACATGCTGCTCCTTTACCAGTTCCCTAACCATGCAGATTTCTGTAAAACATTAACCACATGTCACAGTAACATACTTGTAGTTATCACAGAAAGTGTGAAGGGATTCAATAGCATACTTATTAAGATATGAGCCAGAGATAGCTACTTGCCAACCCAATATCCCTTTCTCCTTTTTCCTTGCTGGGTGGTGCTATGTGCAGTTAAAAGACATTATCCAGCCTGCCTTGTAGCTAGAGGAGGACACTGAGGTGCAAGCAGGCACCATGGGTGTGACTTCTGGGGTAAATTCCTTAAAGGGGGTTGCTTCAGCTGAGATGCACTCTACATCTTCCCTGCTTTGCCTTCATTCTGCCTGGAATACAAACCTGATGGCTGGAATACCAATAGCCAGCTAGCAAGGTGAGATGATGATGGGAACCACACACTAAGGAGGGAGAAGTTGGTACAGAAAGAAGGTGCCTGAGTTCCTGATGACCATGAGCCCCCACACAGCCCTGCACAGCTGATTTGCACCTTCCCTTTTTATTATGTGGAAACAAAAACTACAAACCTCTCTTGTGTAAAATTACTGTTATTTCAGTTTCTTATGACACACAGCCAAACCAAATCATAACTAATTAGAATGTACCCTCTGGATTCTAATTTGAGGTCAAATGAGTAGAAACAAAGGTGAATGCAAAGCAGGATGCGAGCTGGACCCTATGACAAGTGGAACCACGTCCATATCACTGGAAGAAGGTTTACTAAACCAACACAGGGGCTTTGTGAAGAGCCTGCTTTTTCTCCATAAATATTTGTTTCAGTTTCTGTGGCTCCGGTAGTGTAATGGTTACGAATTGGGCTGCCAATCTCAAGGTCAGCAGTTCAAAACTACCAGCTGCCCGCAGGAGAAAAATATGGCTTTCTGCTCCCGTAAAGATTTACAGCCTTGGAAACCCTACACAGGGTCACTATGAGTCGGAACCGACTCCACGGCACATAACCACTACCATCACGTGGCTATTAATATTTTGGTATTTTTATGTCTAGCCTTTTAATTCATATATAGAGTTAAAATATGTGCGTGTGTGTATACAAATATGTAATTCTAACTTTGGAAGCATGTCATAACTTGCTTTTCTACTTAGCCTCATGTTATGATCATTATGTCATTAACTGTTCTCTGTAAGGATATTTTTAACAGCCATATTTCACTGTAAAGATAGATCATGGTTTATTAAATCATTCCCATACGGTGGACATTTAGAATGCTTCCATTTCATGCTAGGATTGCCATTCTTACATACACATGTATTATCACATCTCTAATTACTCTCTAATAAAAGGTTTCTGGCAGTGGAATTACTGGTTGACAAGTATGAATATTTTCATGATTCTTGATGGCTCTGGAAAAGTATTTTCCAAAAAGGTTCATCTGTTTGTCCACATGACACTGCCTTTGGTGGGGCTGTCTGAGACTTCGGCAGCACCTTCCTAACGAAACAGCACAAACACATCTGGTCCTACGTATACAACTCATGGTGGGTGCTACAGGCCCTTGCCGTTTTCTTTGGTAGGTTAGAGTCAGAACACATCATTCTTCTGTGTGTGGACCCGCTGCTGTTTGCCCCACAAAAGCCCTGTTAACAGGGATTGTATTTGTTCCTCAAAGCCCACAACCTCAAAGGATGGACTTTTGGGGGGACCTGGAAGACATGGAAGAGGTGCAGGTATACTGTGGGGTGGGGTGACTGAATCCCAATACTATACACAAAAGACTCCAAGGAAGTCACAGAATGAAGAACTAGGGGCAATCCAAAGATCTCAAATTGAAGCTACTTTAAATCAAACAAAGAGCCTTCAAATTTATTGTCTACTTTGATAGAAATAGGGGGTAAATTCAATAAAAAATTTTAGCCATATATAACAGAGGAAGATAAATGAAATCAGATATTAAGGTTAATGGTGTTATGAGGACACAAAAGTGAGTATTATCCTTTTAATATTAAGTTTTCTAACTCTGGTGTCTTTGCTTTGAATGTTGTTGTTGTTGTTAAGTGCCGTTAAGTCGGGTCCAACTCCAAAGAGTGGCTACTGAGTGTGAACCACCGACCTTGCTGTTCAAACTGGAGCCACACCAGGACTCCTTATATTAAAGGCTCAGCCTACCCTACCCTAAAGAGCCTACCCTACTTTTGGAGTGGCTGATTTTGCAGTCCAGGAGCGGAGATTCCCTGGAACCATCAAGGGAGAAAAGCGAAGTGCGAGACCCTGTTCTGGGAGACAGTGACACTAGGGATGGAGGCAGAGATGATGATGTGGACAGAAGGAGCAGCTAGGGACTCTGGACTCAGGGAGGGAGAAGGGCTGTGTGCTGGCAGCCAGGGGGCAGGAGTGTGGGGTGTACCCTTTGGTTGTCTGATGATGCACGCAGGGGATTCTGATAATTGCAATGAAACAAAATACAATAGGGTGAATGTAAAGATAATGTTCACCAAGTGAACTAACACATAATTCACAATAAAAACTTAAAAAAAGAAAAAGAGCCTACCCTACTTTAAAAGCTCACTTCATGTCCACCAAGCAAAAGTCCATCCATACTTTCGGCACATGCTTGAAGTCTCCCTGGTCACTTCTGTAAAATAGGGTCTGTTCCCAACCTGGGCACTTGCCACACTTCTCAGTGTCATCCATGTGACACACTATCCCTGCACAATAAACACTGTGTGCCCATCTCAGTTCCCTATGTGAATATCAGTTACTGGCAGAGACTCTGTTTCTTTCACAGCATTGTTTAGGACAGTACTGGGCACACAGAAGGAGCGGTAAGTACTTGATACTACAAGTGTCTTGTACCCCATGGTGATGAAGTATGATACCCACTAACTCTACAGCCCAGATCTACACATGATTATGGAGTGCTTTGGTGGTGAGTTAATATGGAAAAGATAAAGGCAAA